TCGTGGCAAACTTAATATAATATATCTCGTTCGAGGTATAAAGAGTTTATAACTTGTTGGGTCATAGACTCAAAATTTAGGTTAATGTATKTAAGTACTTCTAGAGTAAAAAATACAATAATACCAAGTTGCTTCGAATTTATGACACAGAATTAAAAAATTACCCGATTTGGGACTTAGTTTGTTTGATCATTTTAAGATATTTATTGTTCGGATAGATTTTTTAGCTTATTCCAGTCTAGCCAGCTCTATCTCGCCAAGAACGCACCGAATGTTGATCAGTCGTAGCTTTTATGATTTAATATTGACTTAATATAATCTCGCCAAGAGTGACCTAACAGAATCAMGTCATATGAGGTAGTTGGCTATATGGCCCATTTTATGCTATAATTTGCTCGTTTCAATAAAGATTCGGTGCTTTCATGTGAGTTGGGACTTATTGCAAACTTATGTTGAAATTTAGCACGCAGAAGAGCGATTTTACTTGGCAAACCGAGGAATAGTTACGAATTAATTTGCTGTAGATATATCTACGCAAATATATCGAAAATACAAATATTAAACTCTTTTTCCTTATTTTGACAGCTAACCCTTAAAAAAATTATACTTGTATACCTTCAAAACGCCAACCTTATAGAAAATACCGACTTTGTGTCGCCACTTTGCTGTCGCAAAACAGTTTTTGAACACAATGACTCATGATTAATGAGATATTGAACGAAAGCACAAAAGGGATCACTTGACTTGAAAACTTGTTGAAAGTACATAACTCTTTCAACGTATGCATAATTCACATAACATATGGTGTGCGCATAAGCTGCATTATTGTATTTACATACAATATATGTATGGTATAGTGATCAGCTTTGTCACAACGGAACCGACTAAATTAATCCTTAATTTATATTAATTCAAGCCAATTCATGATCAGCAATGAACTTCGCTTGTCCTCTTGYCGCTCATAATGCTACGCGCCCCGCTTAGTGCCGTTGTTGATTGCCGAATTTATTGYGCTGCTTGGTACTTGCGAGCATTCCTTCAAGAACCATGCAATTTTCTCGTTGTTATTAATTTTTCGCTCGCCGTGCTTTTCTTAATCTAGCAATTGTCACTCTGGCATCTTGAGCATTCGTTTATTGCTCATTCATTGAAATCGCAATATTGCATTCATTCAACTTTGTGCTGTTAATAAAGTTTAAGAAAACAAAAAAAAAAAAAAACTTGATACTCGAGAAGCTGAATATTTAACGCTTTTCTTGTGCTCGTGTTGAGGGAGTAGCAGGCAGCCAGCAATTGATTGTTGGCACTAGTTAACAAATGAAACGAAATTTTTATTTCAATAACTTTTCGAATTTATGAATTCAGTTGGGAAATTAGTGAGTGTGTTTTTTTAGACGTGTGGTTTTCTGTCTTTTCGTAGTTGGTCTTTTTCATATGGTGTTACTATTTGTACTTAGTGCGCATCCAGTTTGTGGAAGGCTATCCGAAAGGATCTTGGTTTGGGGGCTTACACAACTTAACTCGAACGAACAGCAAGCGCGTCGTGAATTGGCCCACAACGAGGGCAGCACCGATTCCGATTTTCACAAGAAAATTTTGTTCATTGTTGTGATAATTCACAAGCCATTTCTGACATATCAATACATTCTGAAAAAGTCACTGTTCTATGCTCTATGGGTATAGGCAATCTTTGGYCCATATTTTTTCAAAAATGAAGCGTGTCTGAATTTGGGCTATAGAGCTATGGTTGAAGACTTTTTCGTGTCTGAATTGGCCTTTAGGTGGACAACCTTTGGTTCGAACACTATTTTTGTAAGGCTATCGGAAGTCGCTTATTTAGGGCGATAAAAACGAAACGATTGTATCCTTGGAAGAGAATATTCGGCCTGTTATTGCGGAACCTTTAGCTGCATAATCGAACTTTTCGGGTCTGAATTGGAGGATGTTGAAATATGTAGATGACCTTCAGTGCCAATAGGACGGTGTTACATGTCATACATCGTGYAATTTAACACCSCTGGACTATTTTTATGGGGTTATGTGAAATCAAAAGTAAATAACAACGAGACTATTGTTTCCTGGGAGKAACATATTCGGCCATTTGTTGGTGACTCTATTTGCTGCAGGCTCGAACATTGGGCCTCAAGGCTGGAGTTTATTTGGGTCAGCCGCGGTGATCACTTGCCACAAAATAATCCTAGCTATAACTATATACAAAGGTARCTATAAAAATATAGAAAATACTAAAAGTGGTACCACCTCCACCTAAAATATGAAAATTTTTTCGGGTTCCTCAGTTTTTGTGTAGGTATGTACGACATGAGTTGCAGTTCTTGGCCGGCCGGATAAAAATCCAGGTCCGTTCCGATTACTTATTCCCTACAGTCGTGAGAACGGAAGATAATCACTATCGGCCTCCAACGTATATCCCTCTTGATTTTGAAGATTCATCAAATAATCGGCATTTGTATGAAAATATCAATATACATTTTTTATAGACACAAATGAATCTTGTATAAAGCCTGAAAGAATCAAATTCGATTCATTTTATCTTACTCCCAAAATAMATTGTCAAAGTGAAGCCTTTTTTTGCGCCGTAGGCTGGTCTACTCGCTTAAAATCAAGTTGCCTCTGATAAACTGATCTCCTTACTTTACTGTAATAGAAGAAGATCTGTTGATTAGTATAGTACTTATCATTCGTAAGCACACAATTAAGCGGTTGGATTCACTCTTCGCCCAGACATTGTAGATACTGAAAGTACGAACATAACATAAAATTTCATGTTAGGAGCGGATGAATTAATTTGTTTATCAATTGATTGATTTTTATTGATSGCTTATGTAGAATATCGAAAGCAAATTATACTGAAGTCTGTCTCTTATACACATCGCTTATGTAGAATATCGAAAGCAAATTATACTGAAGTAGAGCTAATAAACAACATCAATTAACAGAAATTGTGA